ACACCCACACCCACACCCACACCCACACCCACACCCACACCCACACCTCGAACAGTAGCAAATATCGTTGATGAACTGCAAAATAACACAGTGATTCTTATAATGTTGGAAGCTCTTATAAATATATATTTACATTATTGCAGACACTGAAACAATTTGAACTGTCTGGTAATCACGGCGATTGTGTTGCAATTGGAGTAACTGTTCAATTTCGAAATGACAGAGTAAGAAAAATATTTTTGTTCAATGACTTTATGTTAATGTTATATTTTTTTATAGACATTGACCACACTTGATCTTAGACAAAATCAAATTGAATCGACAAGTGTAAAGTATATTGCCGATATAATCCGAACGACAACTGTGAGTCATCAACGTTCTCTTTCATAGAATGATAAAATAAGTTTATTTTCAATTTTTTATACAAAGTCACTTACTAAATTAGATCTTGATTTCAATAGTATCCGAGACGATGGAGTAAAATATCTTGCAGATGCATTACAAATCAATGAAGTAAAACGTGACAAAAATTCTACATATTTCTGAATTTATTCATCTCTTTTTTTAAACCAGACACTCATTACATTGTGTCTAAGCCGAAATGAAATCGAACATTGTGGAGTGCATTATCTAGTTGATGCCCTACAAAACAATACAGTCAGTCATTTAAACTGTTCTCTCCTTTCTCAAGTTCTTTTTTACTTCAATTTTCAACACATAGACACTAAGTACATTAATTTTATGTGGAAATAAAATCGGTGACCTAGGGGCAAAATATATATCAGAAGGCTTAAGAAATCATCAAGTAACTCATACAATTCTTTTTTCTCGATTCGATTGTTTATTGTCTCCTTGACTGGCAGACACTAACTGTATTAAAACTTAAGAACAATCAAATTGGACCTATCGGGGCACAATACCTTGCTGAAGGATTTCATGATAATATTGTAATTATCATTTTGATTCATGTTTACGTATCTATATTTACCATGATCATAGACACTCAAGCAACTCGAATTATTTGGTAATCATGGCGAATGTATAGCTATTGGAGTAGCTGTTGGGTTACGAAACGATAAGGTGACTTGACACTTTCTAAATTATCTGACATTCATCTTTCATGATGCATACAGACACTTAATATGTTGACTCTTTCAGGATGTGGATTCGGAGTTTCAGGTGCAAAGTACCTTGCTGATGCATTACAAACTAACAATGTGAGTCATGAATTTGTTTTATTTATTTGATTCATCTATGGTGTTTAATACAGACGATCACCACTTTAAATCTTCGATGTAATCAAATTTTAGATGATGGAACACAGTATATTGCAAATGCACTCCAAAACAATAAGGTAAACCACATCAAAGTACTAATCGATATCTCATTTCATTGTTTTTCTTTCATCTAGACACTCATCACTCTTGATCTTAGTCAAAATGATATCAGTTCTAGAGGAATTCAATATGTTGCTGATGTATTAAGGAAGAATCCAGTTAGTCTTAAACCTTCGTATTGCACTGATATTCCTCTTTCTTCTTTTTTTTCATATACGCACATAGACAATCACAACGCTGATTCTCACGCATAATCACTTGGGAGATAGTGGAGTACATAGTCTTGCAGTCGCATTAAAAAACAATAGTGTAACCTTTTGAAATTCTTCATCTATTCCATATTCATGTCATTATTTTCCAATAGATGCTTGTTAAACTACATATTGGTAACAATCAGGTTGAAGACACTGGTGCATACGATATTGCAAGTGTATTAAGAGTCAACACAGTAAATCAGATATCTTGTTATTCCTTGGGAGTCTATCCTTTGTGATCTTTGAAGACACTTACAGAGTTAGACCTTCAAAATAATAAAATCGGTGATCAAGGAGCTTTACATTTAGCAGTTGCTTTAATACATAATGAAGTAAACCATAAGCTATGTTCACTTCATTCAAATATATCTTCAAATTTTCTATACAGGGACTTCAATCATTATATCTTCAACAAAATGCAGTCGGAGTTGTCGGTGGACAACATCTTGTTGATTCGTTACGAAGTAACACAGTGGGTAGTTCAGATTTTACGTATGTTATATATGGTTTTGTTGTTACTACACAGACACTTACAACACTAGATGTGAGATGTAATCCTATTGGCGTCGAGCTACGGACATGTATAGACGAATTTATAGCAAGAAATGCAGGAAAACCAAAAAAGAAACTTCGCACTTAAAAAACTTAATAAATAGTTAATGTATATAATCAGAGTGATATTTCGATGCTTTCATTGTTATATTTTTTTCAACATCATTTTTAAATGTCATTTTGACGCTTTATTATTTTATTTTTGCATGTTATTTTAAGAGTGTGGGTGTGGATGTGGGTGAGAGGTGTATGAGTGTGAGTGTGGGGTGTGGATGTGGAGTATGTGGGTAGGTGTCTTCTCTTCGCTCGTACTCATGCTCACACACCACCCCACACCCACACCATTTCATATAACAGGACTTGAGTACCTAAAGATACCTTTATATAATAGAAGATAAGGACCGAAGGGTGTGACTAACAATTAATCGTAGGCGATTTCAGACCAGGTTTTGTTAGTTCCAGAACAATCCCGGTCAATTTCGATTCCAAGAATTCAGATGGACTGGAATTGGAATTGATGCATCTATAACTTGGGATCTGGCAGGAAATCGCCGAAACTGGAAGCAGTAATTCGACCGGAAAGTTTTTCGGATTTTCCCAATGAATTTCAACCGTTTCCTGCTGGACGGCAAAAATTTGTGACTGAAATCCACTGAAACAAGTTCAGCGAATCTCCAATAAAAATACTGCTTCCACTTCCGACGATTTTCGATGCTTTCCTGTAGGAATTAGCCCGCCTTTTTCGATCCAGCAGTGAGAAAAATAATAGCAGAAGTTGTTAAGAGTTCATACTGTACGAGCCGTTGTGGCTTTAGAAACTAATTGGAGTGACTACTGAGGGTCTTGACTAATAAATAGGATCCTAAGAATGTCAACAAGTTTCTATAAGCTCTTAGTAGGATCTAACAGAATCCGAAAGGATCCATAGAATCTGAGAGGATCTTAAGGATCTTCAGGGTCCAGCAGAATCGACAAGATCCATAGGATCCGGGGACCCAGGATCCGCTTTTTCCCCCTTGTTCAAATCCAAGTCAAACCCAGTCAAATCCAGGATTTGGATTTGGTGCACCCCTAGCTCAAGTTAATTGAGGACTCGTAGTAGCAAACACATAAAGTTTAAAGAAAAAAAAAGCACTGAACCGCATTTCGATCTAAAAGAAAGCACTTCATGGAACCATTCTGATATAGTCTCATCAGCTATGGTAGATAAGGTCATCAAGATTTATCGATTACATGCCATCGGGCAGTGTCTAATGATGATTTTAAGATTCCTTTTTTGGCACGATAAAAAGCTGTATGAAAACGAAAAAAATGACGGTCGATAACGATAGTCATCTCCGCTGCGACGTAAATGATCACCATGGAAAATACCGTTGATCATCGTATGTCTCCATTTTATGACACATCGCAAACTGCCGACATCTGTATAAACACGACCACATGGAAATATTTTATGTAATAAAATAGAATATGCCATCATCTTCATTGATGCATGTCAGTCATTTACATATATGTCGGAGTTGACTTTAAAATTAAAGATATAACTAAGATGGAGCTAGTTAACTTTTCAATTTCGAAGACAACTAGGTGACTTTAAAACATAACACATAAGTAGAGTAAAGTTAGTTGAATTTACTATTTTAAAGTCAACTAGTTGGGTTGAAAAAAAATAGTCTGTATGTTTTCATCTGTTGAATATAGTTTTGATAAAATAGCATAAATCAAGAAAAATAATTAAACAAAGATATAACATCACGAAAAGAAATAGGTTGAACAATCGTAAAATGTTTCTTGGCCCAAAAATTAAATTGATGATCGTATTTTGTTTCATCGAATAGTACATCTAATATTTTATTGTATGTTTTAGTTGTTATTAAGTACTTGGATTGTCGTTTGACGTCCAATTCCGTTACAAGGGCTTTTAGTTTTACATAGAATGTATCTTTCATTTTTTTTTTACAACAAGATGAGAGAACAATTACAAGTTAATTCTTTCTCCAAGTCACAGAAGAGACTTTCAACCAGTTATAACATAATTATTCGTCAATAGTGCATAACAACTTTATCTTTCTACATTTTAAAGTCAACTACATAGTTGACTTTAAAATAGTAAATTCAACTAACTTCACTCTACTTATGTGTCATGTTTTAAAGTCACCTAGTTGTCTTCGAAATTGAAAAGTCAACTAGCTGCATCTTAGTTGTATCTTTAATTTTAAAGTCAACCGAATTTTAGAGTCAACTCCGACATAGATTTCTAATTGTGATAATATAATTTTCTCTATTGACAAACTATACGTCTTTGAATGAATGGATCGATGAAATTGTAAATTAATTTATCCTAGTTGCCTCTATTATTTTTTCTTTCTATTTTCATGGTGATGAATCTTCATTTTTAACGCAAATACTGTGTGATGCGGAATCAGTCAGTGAATCGGGTCTGAGTGTGGTGTGGGTGTGGGTGTATGTAAACAACAAAGCAACACCCACACCCCCATCCTGCGCACCCACATCTATACCCACACCCCACCCACACACCCACATCCACACCCACACCCCCATCCTGCGCACCCACATCTATACCCACACCCCACCCACACACCCACATCCACGCCCACACCCACACCGACATCCGCACCCCACCCTCGATGAGTCAAAAAAAATCTATCTTATGGAGGCTTTTCTTCAATAGTTCTGACTGAATAAGCATGAAAAATTTCTTCTAAGAATGTGTTTATTTCACAGCTATAAACTACGATCTTCAGTATTGCAAAAGCTAGGTCCATTGATTGGAGCAGCCGGAATGCCACGCCTCAAATAACGACAACGTTGTTCTTCAAGACGTGGTATAGCTAGTTTTGGTTCTTTGACATCGGCTGACGACCATAAACGTTCTGCGACTACAGATGCTCGTGGCCACGTGATAGGAATGACATTAGTTGAATCGACGTATTCTACACAATGTAACAAAGAGTGATATCAAACGAGCCGAAAGAGATAATGTATGCGCTTTTCTTACTTACCACCCCACATACAAGCTTCTCCACCAACAACTAATTGTTTTTGTTTTTCTGTACCTAAGAACCACAAGAGAAATGATGAGATACGGTCGCAATGACAAAAAAGATATTAACCGATGAAATTATGTGGATCACATCTATAATATTTAAACCAATCTTGACCATATGATATCAGATTCAAATACCTTCATTCTATCGTGAAACAATTTGATTATATGAATATAATCTAAGATCTTACCAACATGCTGATAGAATAGCTCTATAGCCAAGATTTGTTACTCGAGCCAATTCTAAACTATATGGTTCCTATGAAAAAAGAAATTATACAATATCGAAATGATTCTATATTCTCACCTTCCAAACTTCAACCAATGTATTTGATTTAATTTTCACATGATGATCAATGATTTCTTGCCATACAGCATAGCCTTTTCCCGTAGCATTTACAATATCGACCAATCTATGAAAGATATCTTAACAAGTTTTTAATTGATAGAAAGTCTTTTCTATAATGAATTTAATAACAAAATGCTAAATGTTTGGTTTGCCTAGTAATACAATAAATTACGAACAAGACTCATCTTTTAAACTTACGTTTGCATGTAATATTGTTCTAACAATGCATAATCTAATCCAAATTTCATTTGTCGCATGAATTCTTTGATTGCCGGATTACTTCTCCTAAATGAGCATTTTTCATTCGACAAAAATAATGTCTCTTGAAAATGTGAAACATTTTTACCAGCATTCGAAGCTAACTTCATCGCCACCTAAGTGTACATAACCATCAGGAAAGACACTTGCAATCTCATTAAAAAAGTTTTTCAAAAACTCAAATGTTGAATTACGACTTGGATCCATAGGTCCTAATTCACCAGTTGGCTTTCCTTCACTATAACATTTAGTCAATATATCAATAGCTTGTCCCCATGATAGAGTATGACCTAAGCAGTAGGAATAATTACAATCACATAGAAAGAAAGTTGATCTACATATCTCATTGATCGATCATACCTGGTGAATCGAATTCGATTAATACACGAATACCACGTTGTCGAGCAAATTCAATCAAATCGGCAATATCAATTTGTGAATAAGCATCTTGTTTATTGTAGGCACCTTTATTACTTAACTCAGGATATGTGCGTGATTCGTAAGGAAATGACTGATCATCAACTATATGGAAATGAAATACATTCATTTTACTCTGAGCCATTGCCTCCTATAACACAAAAGCTAGGCATGATTATAATGATAAAAAAAAAGATCAGTTAATAATCAACCAAATTCATTTTAATTGTATTGACTGAAATAAAATGTCGAGATGTATCAAGTAGAAGACCTCGATGTTGAAATCGAGGAAAGTCGTTGATGATTGTTTCATTTATGGCAAACTATCATTTTCTAAAATAAGTAAAATTTTAATAATAAAAATTCATTATTTACCAGAAGATCATCGTCTGTATAGATCAATTGACTAAATGTTTCAAGACCTCGTAGAGCACCCCAAACAGTTATAGCATTGAGTGCAGCATGATTATTTTTGATAAATAATGTGTCTAAAAGTAGCAAACATAATTTGATAAAAAAGAGGACTTTACAAAGTTTTTTTTTTCTATACATGACTCATTCGTTTCGAGACTTGGCCATTCATCACATGGTTGCTCAACGTTAACGTAAAGGTTCATGAGTAACGATATATTGGTAATACTGGAAGGATATTTTTGTCTTAGAGATGCATTAATCTTAGTTTGATAAATATCATTATTAGTTGTGAACGAAGATGATGAACGTCGTATATAAGGCATGTAAGTTTGTGGGAAAAAAATTATTCTGTAGTATCGATCAAAAGCACTAGTCAATAAACTACAACGTTGGCTTGTCTCATTCATAAGAAAATGAAATGTTTTCGGATTAACTGTTAAACGTTGAGTTGTTGTCAGTATCGATTGAGGTTTTGGCCAAGGTTCGCCAACAGTTGGTTGAATACGAATCGCATGAAGAAAGCCACGTCGTTCATGACTCCATACAGGTGAAAAACTTTCAACAGTGATCACAAGTAAAAGATATATAATATTGCTACAAGCGACCATCCTCAACAATGAAACACAGTCAGTTAGACTATACTTAAAGTTTATCTTTTGTCGTGTAGGTTGATGCATATATAGATATTACTTCACTAGATAGTAGGACACATTCTATACACGTGATTTTTCTTGATAAAAAAGAAAAGGTAATGACTTTTTCTGATAAGGATAAAAGATGCGACATGTTGAGAAAGAAAAAACAATAACTAAAACACAATTCGTCAATCGAATTGAACTGATAAACATGAAGGAAAATAAACAATGCCATAAAACATCTTATTTAAAATTCATAAATCTAGAACGTCTGAAAATCGATTTCATTATATTGCAGGTCTGTTAAAAAGACTAAATGACAGCAGATTAAAAAACAGTATATATATAAGTGTAGATTATGACTTCATGAAGTTTTATAATACTCTTATTCTTAAATAAATATCGATATGAATATTATCAATAATATTTATCTTATAGTCTCAGCAACACCAAATTATTTTATTGAGCAAGATATTAATTTCTATAGGAGAAAAAACCGCTCTTGATAGTAACCACTTTTCTGCCTGATATATGTCGTTAAGACAGTCTTGGCAAGAAATCGTGGTTATAAAGTTAGTTCTCAACAAACGAAACTCTTATCTTAAGACTCTCTGAATATTATGAACAGTATAAATGAGTTGTAATATTCAGCTAAGTTTCAGTGAAGCACAAAAAAATTCAAAATCTCTCAGATTTCTATTAATGCAAAATTGCATAAATCTTTAGGATTATATTTTGTCAAAAATTAAATATTAGTTTTTTTTGCACTACAGTATCAATATAATACAAAAACAATTTTCGTTAGATTTTTTTTTAAAATTTTACATCGAATAATTAAGTTCGATTGCAATCTCTTCGTTCGCTTTTATTGTGTTATAGCTCGACATCACAATGGTAAATTATATGAATATCTACGATTATTAAAGTATAAATATTTCTTATTTATTTTAGTTATGTAGACGTTGCAGAATCGGATATGACATCAAGTAAACGTACACGATCGTCTCTTCCGTAAATATGAATGTGTAATTTCCAAGGAAATGGACATTTATTGATATCAACAGATAATTCTTGTAACTTCTCGTTTCGCTCATTTTTATAATAAATCTTTCGATTATTACAATCAAATGTAATTGAAATTATATCATTTGGTTTTGTATGAGAAAATAACCAGCCCGTTCGTCTATGTTGACGAGTACCACCAAGAAAATAATCATCGTAATCTGCCCATCCGTAAGAAGAAGACGATAGATACGATTCTCTCATCACTGTTTCTGACTTGGAAATAATGCCAAGAAAATCCTTGTGTTTCGAGGATTTTTCTCAATTTGAAAACGAAATCTATGTATACCAGATGAATAGTCGACTTTTCCACATGATCCTGTAGCTAAATCCGAATCAGGGTGTGGGATGTGTAGGATGAGTGGGTGTGGGTGGGTGTGGGTGTGAGTGTGGGTGTGGGTGTGGGTGTGGGTGTGGGTGTGGGTGTGGGTGTGGGTGTGGGTGTGGGTGTGGGTGTGAGTGTGGGTGTGAGTGTGAGTGTGGGTGCCGGTGCGGGTATGGAATTTATCTTTTCAGACTTTACCTACACCCAACACTCTTACCCACACCCAACACCGTTACCCACATCCAACACCCTTACCCACACCCGAAGGATCTCTGCAGGGTTAGGCTCTTCAAAAATTTGTTCATAAAAATGTGCGGCTAACTCTGCCATCTTGTTAGTTTCCTTAATTATTTCTTCATTTGGTTATACAAATGCCCTTAACGAAGCAGATGTTCCCTTAAAAAAAATTTTTCTGCTCTAGACCAAAAGGCTAACGAAACTGGAGTGGACGTATGGCGTTTTGAAAGACTACACGGTAATCTAGAAATCATGAAGGATTTTAATTCGTATTTCGATTCCTTCTTTAGTCGATTCATTTTTTTTTAACTTAAATCACCTGTATGTTTCTGTTTAAACAAGCGCACGAATAAGCGAGAAACGAGCTCGCAACTCTTTCGGAATTGCTATGCTTTATTTTCGAAGAGGAAAATATGTGGTGTAACGAGCTGAAAGAAGAAAACGAAATCGTTTATAATCATTATAAACACTATCTAGATTATCCAACTTCCACAAGGCTTCCAAAAATGGGTAAACCGCTGATGCAAAAAAGGAAACAACTTTCAAATGAATATTTCTACACTGTTCTAAAACCTTTGATTTACTAGCGACGGATGAAATTATAGGTTTATGGTCGCTGGTTGTTGTCCCTTCATAAGTTTTCAAATCAACAGAAAATTTAGAAGAAAGTGCATAGTCTATTATTCTATCCGATCTTAAGCTAGTAGAATTTCCTGATGTAAATGATGATAAAAAGCATGAATCTGCTCACTCTAGAAACTTTTCAGCAATCTTTCTATCTTTCTCTAAGTCGATGTGAAAATCTCCAAATATCACGGACTTTTCATCGCAAAACTGAGAAAGATCCTCCCACATCCACGATCTACTTCCAGAACCATAAACTCCTATTAACCTTAAACTTTCTTCTAAATAGAGATCAAGCACGATGATATTAGAGACTGGACAGTGTAGACGTTTAATCTTTATGTGATTTCTAGTGAGAATGACAACGCCTCCATTTTTGTTTTCACCTGCCTGATAAAAAAAACGATACTTTTGAAAAAGTTGACAGAGAGAAGTAGAATCAAAAGAGCCAACGTCTAAGAGAACCATTGACATCAAAATTGAACGAGAGAGACAACATAAAAACTTCTTCGACTCTAAGGTCCAACCCTCTTACATTAAACGACAAAACATTTAAAAAATTAGAGATTGAATATAGATCAGGTTTAAATCAACTTTCCCATTCTTTAAACAAAACCGATAAAAGGAGAGTACTCTTCCACTCATTCAAAACACCTTGAAACATGAGGAAATCATAACAACTCAAACATTCACTCGCTTGTTTCAACTTGTTGCCCCTCACATAAAAGCTATTTTCAGCTACGCAAGAAAAAGAGGAACTGCGAGAGGTGACAATATCATTTAAGTAATTGTTTACCTTTCACAATTATATTTAACCGTACACTATAAATTTCTAAATGTGAATGTAATGATTCATCCAAATGTCTTCCATAATTTGTATTCTTCTCTCTAACAAATTTAATCAGATCATGACAGAATGGAAGTAGAACATCCTTGGTTGGTTCTTCCGTTTCATTAATTCTCAATTTAATCGTTTGATTTTCTATAGACAATACCAAAACTTGCCGTTTCAATTCTACATTCGACTTTCTCATTTCTTCGAATTCAGACGAAAGTTTCTCTATTCTATCATTCAATTTTTAAATTACCTCGTTCATTATATCTAGTTTATTTATTATTTCTGCACTCTGTAAAATAGATACATTGGTAACTGTTGTTCTTTAAGCATAAGGTAATCGTGGAAAGTTTGACTGATCATACAAATAACCTGGTGACGAAGAAGCAGAAATAAGACCATTATTACTATTCAGTAGACGACGTGTAAGATTAGCTCTGAGATTTTTAACTTCACTACATCTCATATCATCGCTGGCATGGTTTTGCTTACAGTGTATACAATGTGGTTGTTTTGAACAGAGAGGTAAATGCTGTTTTATATAAGATACAGCCTGTCTACATGTACGACAAGTCTCACAATTTTGTCGACACTGACGACGAAAATGACCAATCGAACAACATTTTCCACAAATTAGAACTCTAGCTTGAGCTAGATATTCTACCACAGGAAATGAAATAGAACAAGCACGCAATTTACCATCACTTAAAAGATTTTCTCTTTCCACTCGACAATTAAATTCTAATTTTACTAAGGTGATTTCTTTTTGAAATCTATTTTTCATTCTTACAACATTTTCTAAGCTACTAAACATTGATCTCAATTCTGTGGTGAAATCCTCAATATTGATAGACAGACCGACACTTTTCATAATTACAGATAATTGTGGTGGAATACTCGGTGACTTTAGCCTAGTGAAGGTCGATCTGAGAAGTGTAGTCGGCCCATTCGTGTCATTGTACAAAAAAGAAAAGGAAAGATTATCTTTAACAAACAACAATATATCACACTCGTTTGCTGCGTACTTAAGGGTCGAACGACGATATCCAATTAATTCTAATTGAAGCTGTTTATTGTCTTTTAAATGTTTACATAGTTCTTCCGACACCTTCTGTTCTTTTATATTAGATGATGGAAAACGAACAATAAAAGGTGGACATGGATAACGTGTACGAGCAAGCCTTTCAGCTTCTTCAGTTAATTGATCATTATCTAAAGTTGAGGCAGTCATTGTTGTTGTCTGTTGTTAATTAAACTGATCAGACTTCATACATTGAATTGACTGAGAAGATTGAATCGAATGAGTAGAATCGAACTGAACTGTTGTTGTGTGTGAGTTGTTAGACTGTCGATTGACATTTTGTCTCGTATTATAATTGTGTCCATGAGTTTGGACCTACTTTCGCTTACAGCGATTTTGAACAATTTTAGTTGATGCATCATTTACAAAATCTTCATGTTCAATGATGTCATCATCAGAAGTTGTATGAGGTCGTTGTGAAGAGTGCACTGCACAATGACCTTGATGACCCCCATTATTGATACGTGATTCGAGATTCTGTTGCTGTTGTTGAAGATGATTAGGCGGTACCAAATGCTGTTCACCCATCTCTAATTTTAAATTTCTTGATTTTTCATGACAAGTAATTAATTTTGTTGATCACGTGACAAAAACGTGATAAATAATTAACACAAAATAAAACGAACTTTAAATTTTGTACGTAATAATATTATTTAAGGAAAGAAAGAATATACATCCACACGTCGTTTGTAAAAGAAAGAAATAGATATATTGTTGATAAGCACCAGTTTGTCATATGCTTGTTGCTTTGTCTAAATTATACAATTGTGCATCCATATCTTATCTCTCACAATAAATTAACTCGGTGTAGTGTTACATTTGCTGCGCATTCCTTTATTCAAAATATATTTACATATACGGCTGGTTTAGTTATATTTTTCGTTACAAAAGCAACTTATCTTCAATATTTATGATTCGAGTATATTATAAATGGTAAACAGACTTATATATATATCTATGGTCTATGAAAAAGAAGTTGGAAAAAAGTAATTATAATACGTGGCGTAACCAAGATTTTGAGACCAATGAATACACCTCTCTTGCCTCGAAAAAAATGATGGACATATTGGACATGATTTTTATTGATAGGCTAAAGAAAAAGTAACATGTGATGTTTTATCAGATATCCATCAAACTCCTATCTTTGAACTGATTCAAGCATGGTTTGATCAATTTTTAATGTTTTCTTTGTTTGAGGAAAAAAAAAGTAGTTTAAGTCGCTTTTCATTAGGTATAGCATAGGATTAGTATGTTTTGCATTAGAATAATAGAAACATCGGTATACTATTTTAATATTCGACTATAAATTCAAATAAATTAATTTCGTCAAAAATATATTTTAAAGATTTTTCTCTCAAAATGAATTTAAAATATTGAGTTATCTAATATCATAAAAATTTTAAGCATTCTTTACCTTTCATATACTTTGTATTTATCGTTTTTGTTTTCGTTCTATATTTATATACTTGTTTTTCAGTATATCATAACACTATACTTATTTGTTTTGCTTTTTGATGGCTTTTGCGCCTATCTCTCCATTGGTTGTTGATGGTCTACCAAAATTCCTTTCAATGGTATACCATAAATTCATTAATCAAGCTATTTATGCTTTTGCCGATCTTGGTATAGCTGATCGATTGATGAATGCACCGTTAGATCGTGGTTTTACGGTCGAAGAAATTATGGGTGATGATCGATCACAATGGAATCAAGATTTACTCTCTCGAATATTACGTGCATGTATTTATGGTGGTATTGTTGAATCTATAAATGATGAAGAACATTATATTCTTACTGCATCTGGTATGATGATGACGTCAAATCATCCGTCACATGTACGAGATTTTATTCGTCTGAATTTTGGACCAATTAGTACTAGTGCTGGCACACAATTACCAAATATGATACGTGGAGAAGGTACAGATGCTGGAGTAGCTCGTGTTTCAGGTGGTATGGATTTTTATACGCTTATAGGACAACCCGATCAAGAAGAATTATTAAAAATATTTAGTGGTGCTATGACAACATATTCAATACAAAGCGGTTCTCAATTAGTTACAGCCGTTAATTTTGGTAGATTTAAAACCATAGTTGATATTGGTGGTAATAGTGGAATATTTTTAGCTCAAATTCTTGAAAAATATCCATCGATTCAACATGGAATTGTTTTTGATTTACCACATTTTGTTAATCAATTTAAAAATGGCGAAGAATTTAACTTACGTAACATACGTAAAGACAAATGGAATTTTGTTTCTGGTAATATTTATGATTCATCAACTGTTCCATTAGCAGATGCTTATGTATTAAAACATTTTTTACATGATTTTGGTGATAGGAAATGTTTAGAAATTTTATCATCAATCTATAAAGCTAATGAAAATCAAAAAGATCCAGTAGTAACGATATTTATTATTGAACATGTCATTTTACCAAATCGCGCTTTAAGTAATTGGCAATCACATGCATTCGATATAGAAATGGCTGCGGCGTTAGGTGATGCTCGTGAACGTACACAAAATGAATATGAACAATTACTAAATAAAGCTGGATTTAAACTGATACAAATGTATCCAATTCAATCGCCAGATTCTATTCTTGAAGCTGTTATGGTTCATTAATTGAAAAATCTTAACGCTAGTCTTTAAAAACAAAGAAGATACAAATGAATTCAAAACTCTACATTGGGATCTAAGACTCACCAGACTACTTACGGAAGAATAATATCCAAAATAAACAAAACCTTCTTTCGTAATTTTGTCTTTTTTGAATTTGAAATATATTCATTGAAAAAATATTTTCTTCTTTCAATAGTTAATTTTTCAGATTTTAATTATTAAGGAGGTCGCCTTTCAGAAAATTGAATTTTTCTAAATAATATAGATACAAGAAATTTTCATCGTTTCATTTTTGGAAAAACTGCGTTGCTACTTGAATGGTCATTGAATAGAACATTCTAGTAGTCAAATGGCATTAGTTTTACATGCCTTAAAATGTATTAGGAATATGCCATTTAACATGATTTTTTTTGAAATTTGAATAAAAAAAGCATTTCGAGCTATTACTAATATTTTGTTTAAAGGTCTCAATCAGAATGAATTTTGTAAAGTTGGTTCCTGCCCTAGACGAACTTTTTTTTCTTCCATTCTTGATCAAGACAGTTCTCAAGATGTGTCCATAGCGCATGACTTTCTTGCTCAAGAGGTTCCTGTTTTTCATGCGCATGCCACAATAAGTTCAACTAGGGTGAGTTGAGAAAAGTGAAATTTACTTTATAAAAATTCTGTTCAGATAAAATTTGCGTATACTGACATGCATTTTATTTGAAATCTGTCCGAACTCTCTATTTCTTGTTATGGTGAAGTTTTATCGATTTTCTTCAATACCTATAAATTAACTCTAGTATGATTACTTGAACTGAAATTTTCACTGGAAACGTATCTTTTAAGATTGGCTACGATTTTGTCGTATGAATGAATTTATGAAAAGCTAGAGTGACTCGTAAACCTGAAATAGAAATTGATTCACAGAGTACTTGGAGAAAGTAGTGATCGAATGGTACAAGAAAAAAATAATTGATAATTTTCATAAGAATGGTATATTGACTAATCATTTTCAAAACTGTATTTGTTTTTTTCTTCCGACATTTTAACATATGATTCAATAAAGTGAGTCGATCGATCAAAGGCTATCACGAAAATTGACCATCGAATAAATAGTGCTTGAATTTTAGTCTATCAAGGAAATGGATGACTGAAAATTTTCTAGACAAAGTGTTACTTAATTTTTTGACCTATGAAAAAGCTTTTCCGACATGTCAGTAGTAAAATAATCTTTGATAAAACTCAAAAAATTCATTTTGAGGATGTGAGTGTACGGCGTCTCTTTACCTACATCTATGCCCATCCCCAAAGACTTTTGCAAACATTCTTCAGCTGACTTCGAACATTACACAGACTCATTTTATTTCTTCATTTTATCTTACAGAACTTATTATTTTTATAAACTTTTGATGTTTTATTAAGACAATCCTATCTTTCAGAATTTTTGTGTCACTTGTATTTCTGAAAGGTCGTCTCAAATATTCAAGATTTTATTTTACACAAATTTCTTGTAAGCTTAGAGTACTTTGATATAACATTATATATTTAAAAGAGTACCAATTTATAGTGATCGGTTAATTCGTAGTTAGTTTTCAGATTTTAAACTATTTCGCTCAGTTTTGTCTTTACTTGTTTTGTTAGCACTCTTTGTAAACATGCGGAGTAAATAATAAACGAAAAATGTATTGAAAGAAGATCCACATGTACCTTAACAAAATTCAATTACAACAAAATAATTATTTTTAAATTAAAATTAATAGAAATTATGAAGTTCTTCTACCGATGCATTTCATATTATTTGTAAAATCAATGAAACAATCTGCATAGAGAAAATAATGAATGTTTAGTTTCTCATACTTTGATTGTTGTTATATTAGTCAATATGAAGAGAATTTCGTATATTTTAAAGACCTATTCTCGTCTTCATTCACAGACTTTTTTCGAACATAAGGTCTCTTTGAGAATTACATCTTTCAGACACAAGGGTGGCGATGCATGAAAAAAACAACAATAAAAAATCTAGGACTTGTTAACCTATTGCTTTGATCAAAGTCCTAATTTTTATCTTCATGGAAAAACTGAGTATGAATATTAATTATCATAAGTAACTATATAGTTCCAAAAAAAGTACTTCTAGTTACAGGTATACTCAATATCTTTAAAATAACTTGATTCAAACAGCAATGCATCTATTCTGACATTAATATTCCAGATTTACATTCATGGTAAATAGTTTATCTAAAAATCAATACTAACTTCATAGTATTACATGGATATCAGATTTATTTTCTGTCTCCAATTAAATCTCTGATGAGATGCATTACATGAGTACGAGGGTTTGTTGCAAAATAGTTGCACCACTCATTTACACTCAGCTCTTTTCATAGAAAGAGTGCGGTTGGGTGTGGGTGTGGGTGTGGGGTGTGGGGTGTGGGTGTGGGTGTGGGTGCGGGTGTGGGTGTGGGTGGTTGTGGGTGTGGGTGTGGGTGTGGGTGTGGGTGTGGGTGGTTGTGGGTGTGGGTGTGGGTGTGACTGTTCTCTCCTTTTGTATCCACATCCACACCCACACCCTCCGACGAAAAGTGATTTTTGAGGGGGGCCTTAAGTCCTTAGGTATGATGGAAAAAGGCAGAAAGGAAAAATATCGAAAGGAAAAAATGTCGAAAATAAAAATATCGAAAACAAAAATAATACAAATGTAGATGGATTGAAATGCTGAAAACGAGAGAATGTTGAAGTACAAGTCTCCCTCACCCTCAATTCAATCTTACATGCTCATTTTTATTTCATATTTTTGTTTTCGACATTTTTATTTTCGATATTTTTCCCTTTCGACTTTTTCCCTTTCTGTCTTTTTCCATCCATTCAGTCCTTATTACAAACCGTAACCTCAAAATAATCTTGAAAAATAACAATTATTCAACTGCCATAACTGTAATACATAACTACATACTCTTATGCTAACCTTCTCATGATAATGTGCACTGCAATTTCAATATATAAAATCGCGGTTCGATAAATGAACACTTTCTGACTCAAAATAAATTCAGTTCTCTCCAGCTTATAAAATCAGAAATAACACAAAAAAGATGAAGTTCAAAATGTACATAAAATATCGTTACTCGAACAGGCAGCAATATTCAGATTAGTTGCACCGTTCACCTGATAGTTTAGAATAAAGTCAAACACAAAACAACTAATTTTCTAAAACGAAATTATGGAGAAAAAAACTTCAGATAAACGTTAGTTAAATATAAAACTATATTAAATTATAAATAAATATAATTGGAAAATATTGGTCAGGATTCGCTTAGATAATCGTTTACAATAATGTTCATGTAATGGAATAAGCTCAGATGTAAAAAATATACAAAATTTGTTTTTTTTTAATTAATGAAAAGATAATGCGCACTTTCGCAGTAGTTCATATTTCTTTTAACATTATATTTTATATACATTCTAAATTGCAATACGATTTTGAATTTTTATATTTTTTAATATCGCACGATACCGTGGTTTATTTCCTACAGTTTATGATAAATCTATAGGTCCCTCCAACTGCACTTCCATCACAATAATGTACGCCTATATATTAATAGTCGTGATAGAAAAGAAATATGACTTTGCAAATTATATACACAGTCCATCATGAACATGAATGTCTTAGGAGGTTTGACGTAACCATGTCGACACCATAAACTACTATGAAGTTTTTTAAAATCCACTCCTAAACGGCAGGCATACTTTTATATGAAAGATTTCTCATCATTAAGCAGATAGAATATCATATTTAGTATTAGAGGGAACATCACCGTTTACACTCTAAAAAATCGGTTCTTTACTGAACCCTCAAAAAAGGTTCTGGAGATTTCGAAAAGCATCCAAATGTGTCAAAAGTCGCAAAAAAAGGATAAAAAAATCTACGAAACCTTTAAAGGTTCTTTCGGTGTATTCAGAATAAGAATCTTTTACCGCGAAACCTTTTTTTAAGTTCCGTAGAGCAAAAAAAGGTTTCGTAGGAAAATACAAAACCTTTAAAGTTTTGTATTAAAATCTAATAGTTTCGCACTAAACCCTCATGATTTCGTAGAATTTAATACGAAACTTTAAAGGTTTTGTATTTTCCTACGAAACCTTGTTTTACTCTACGAAACTTAAAAAAAGGTTTCGCGGTAAAATGTTCTTATTCTGAATACACCGAAAGAATCTTTAAAGGTTTCGTAGATTGTTTTATCTTTTTTTTTGCGACTTTTGACACATTTGGATGCTTTTCGAAATCTCCAGAACCTTTTTTGGGGGTTCAGTAAAGAGCCGATTTTTTTTTCAGTGTAGTTCAGTGGAACTATCGAACTACAATCATAAGGTAAGGAGTTCGAGTCTAACAAACAGCAAAAGAATTTCCAATAGATAATAGTATCGTTACAGTTGACCGCGATATTAGAGGACCGTATCGAGATTGTAGATCAGTTACGATCATAGGAAGTCAAACATTGCTGGGTAGGTGTCAGAAAGGACATACCAGTAAATATATGAATTGATTTTTTTCTCAAAAACCACTCATAACCGCGGTTTGAAGATACCGTGGTTTTAAGGATCGAGATTTGTGGCGTTTTTTTTGGGACTTTTTTTTCATGGGTCTTGTGCATGTGACACCGGTTACTTGTTTTTTCCAAGATATCAACACTTCACTTTTCTTATCTTTTTTTTCGGTTTATTTTACGATCTTTCGACTACAAACTTTGTTGAGAACGACAACACTTCTTGGAAAAAAAAGTCATTCAAAGTAAAACGAATATCATGGATGCAAACAAATATACACAAAGACCATTGTATGTAGTTCTGTGGGTGATTAGATGTAGGTGTATAGTTTAGATGGAATTAGATATGTGCTAAGCTCAAGTCTAGATCAAGCAGATCATGCTCAACTTCGGCAGGATCAGGCTCAGTTAGAGCTTAAACAATTCAGGCCAAGTCCGAAGTATTTGTATTTCGAATATGCCTAGATTGGACTGAATGTTTGTGAGTGAGAGATTGTATATAAGTGTTTGGGTGTCGCGGTTTAGGTTTGATTGCAGCTCCTCTGTTAAGCCATATGGCGTATATGGCCACGTCGGCACTTCCACTTATTCACATGGAGAAGCATTCTTTTGACACTCAGTAGGTTTCGCGATCATTTTCGTTCCTAGTTTAGATCAGATGAAACTGATGCTCACTGGTATATACTGATCAACAGACGAGAATTTCTCAAGTTAACTTGTGTCTATTGCTTTGCAATCGAATTCTGCTATTTTGTAACTGTTTGTGGAGAAAGAGCTTAAGTTTAACTACAAAGGATTTCTTTGTTACGTCAAAATGTGATCGCCACAATTGAACGTTCACTAGTTCTTCTCGACAGGTAAGCTTGTGAAACACGAAAACATCATCTTTATTGGTCACCTTATGAAATTATCACCGATATTTCTTTGATAGTTTGACCTCAATATCAAAGCTTGCAAAAACAAAATCATGAATAGTACAATAGAAAAACTTAGAAATTTGATTCAGTAAAATTCAGATGCAATACTGGAACAAAAACTAATTGAATTAATAACTCTATTTAAGATGAAAGCAACAACGTAAACTCGAGAGACTGCTGACTGAGAAAAAACGTCAGCAGGCTAGATAAATAAAAGTCTGTCATGAATATCGATTTCTTTTTTATATAAATTCTATGCAGTTAACATTTCAGTAATATGTTCATTACAAATATGGCGTTTAAAATGCTCGAAGGTCTGCTTGGAAATCATTATCAGTAGTTACTTATCAGAGTGCAATACTCAAAATGAAATCTTTCGAAAAAGTTTCCATACCAATAGTTTCCAACTTGGTGAAGAGCTGTGTATGTGAGACACGTTGTTTATCTGTCGAAGAATTTTTATTACCTGTACAACACAAAAAAAAGCATTGCTCGTCTAATGTGTTCTCCTTCTATCTCGTTTTCTTTTATTCCTTTCAGTAATGCACTTTCTGGAGAAACTTTGCTCTTGACAGCAATAGAATACGTAACAGGAAGAGTAGAGCAACAATCATGACAAAGAAAAAAACAAACATATTTTTAAAATGACGTACATTTCAAATGGATTACATGTATCGATAATTATTCCTGCATAGTGGAAAGTAATTGTCATTGTTCAAAACCAGGCAATAGAAAAAAAAATACACTTTCTTTATTATCGACTAAAGAAATAAAAATTTCAATGAACATGAATTTGCGACAATTGTTGGGTGGGTGTAAGTGTGGATGTTTACGACGTTAGGTCTTTTCTTCAGCCACACTTCCACACTCACACCCACACCCTAAAAGCATGAAATGCATGAACTGCACAAATTGTTGATATTGACGTTAATTTATACAAGAAAAATGATTGGAGAATCAATATGAAGAAAGAAAATTCTATTGTCGAAGATGATAAAGGCATAAATAAGAGAGAGGAACACTCGTCATCAATATAAGTTTTGTATTTTTATTTAACGTGAGTTCAATTTTATTCCAATAATGATGAAGAAAGCAAGAAAAAAGATGACAATACCAGCAATACGCATTCCGCGATGAATAGAAGAAGTGCATATGTATATATAGAATGAACTATGCGATAGAAAAACTAATACGCAAGAAAGAATAGAAAAGTGCAAGATCAATATCGATGTTTATTGACTGCGAAAGAATAGAAACAAAGGGACAATTTCAGTTGAGCAAGAAGGACTAAAGAACAGATACATGTGAGAGAAAGAAAAAGAAAATGAACAGACACATATAGTTCATAATGAAGAATATTTTCTTAACATACTGGTCCCAGGTCAAATCTTGGCATTTTAAAATATTTTTATTGTTTACAATTGTTATTGATGCAAAAGTATATGATTTAAGAACGATCAGATCATTAGCGCACAATAGTTTGGATGTGAGCGTAGTTCCATTAAATAAAAGCAACATACCCACACCTTTACATAACTTTAGCATGCATTTAATAGAATTTCTATCCTGTCATGAGATATTGCGCTAATTATAATATCCGATAAACCATCGTTATTAAAATCGCCTATAGATATCTGATCAGGGATATAATAAACTATATTAAACGAAATGATCTCATCTTTAAAGGTTCCATCGCCGTTACCAATTAGTATACCCACATTGTTTCTCCCACTATCAACAAAACAGATGTCGAGTCGATGATCGTTGTTAAAATCACCCACGAGGATCTGACTCAACGCACTACCAGCTTCAATAACAAACATTGATGGTTGTTTGAAAGTACCATCTCCATTACCAAGCATCACACCAACACCTTTACCCATAGGCATACCAAAAGTTATATCCAGTCGTTTATCATTATCGAAATCACCGATTGCAATCGATATTGGTTCAGTCATATCACCAGTAGAAAGTGTTCTTGGTACTTGCAACGTCCCATCGCCGTTGCCAAATAATATATCTATGCTGTCAAGATCACGGCGAACCATAACAATATCCAATAAGCCATCAGTATTGAAATCGCCGTCAGCGATCCAAGTTGGAACATTCAAATGTCCAGTCGAATAAGTTATTTGTATTTTGAAAGTGCCATCCCCATTGCCAAGTAGCACATATAAATTGTCTGCATCGTTTTTAGCAACAACAATGTCCATCAGACCATCACTATTAAAATCATTTACCACCATAGGACCCATAGAATTATTATCGTTGTCGATTGAGAATGTCATAGGTTCTTTGAAAGTTCCATCACCATTACCAAGTATTATAACAATATTGTCATAATCCATTACGGTTATAGCGATATCTGATAAGTTATCATTATTAAAGTCGCTGACAGCAACATTATACGGCGCACTGCTATCGTTAAAGTGCAATTCTGTTTCCTCTTGAAAGCTTCCGTTTTCATTTCCAAATATAATACCTAGAATGCTATTGTAATAGTGGGTCATAACAATATCCAGATAGTCGTCGTTGTTAAAATGACCCACAGCAGTTGCAGCCACCACATAGCTTACATTAATTGTTTGGTATGTGAACCAACAAATTCGTTCTAGAAGGAAACAAAAAATAGAGTTATTCTGCGTTCAGATGAAAAATGTTTTAGGATACTGTAAAAGCAATGGTCATCCTACTATAAATTTGTGCAGAAGGTTCGAGAGAGATTTTTCTGTCAACTTAATCGTAACGTGAATTTTATTTTACATTTCTTAAATAGAAATACAAGATATGATTGTACTCAGAGAAAGACAGCATCAACGCTGAAGAACTATTGGGGCTTACTTTTGTTTAGTATTCATTTTTTCTATGCCATTTATTTATTCAAATGTTATTTCAGTATATCCACAACCATGTCAACGTCCATAACTGATCATTCATACTAGTAGTCGCACTTGGGATGTATTGAGGAACTGTGCGGAATTCATTTCGTAAAGCTTACCAACTTATTGAAAATCCTCAGTGAATGCCGAAAAACTTAGTCCTAGTAATTGCAGAAGAAATAAAGAGTTAACTTAAATGATGTTGAAAAAAACTTGAAATTGTATTCAGTTCTTAATACAATAGATTTGTTCATATCTGGTCGTAGGTAATTATTTTCTCTACTACGTGTATGTACATTTATTGTTTTTAATGAATAATTAAAGAAAGTTAGTTAGTGTGACATTATTATTTTACTAATAAATCTTCAACAAGCTTCGCGGAAATATAACACAAGATATCCATTATGAGTAAATTCAACAATGCTTACATGGAGGAAAAAATCTCAAGTAAGCTTACAAACAAAAATTTTAAAATCGACATTTTTTCTAGTCAGATTGAAAATTTCATCCGCATAGTTCTCATCTCCAAATTCAATCCAACACATCCATCGTCGCTCTCAATTTGATATTATAAGCATCAAAGTGATTGAACTGACAAGTATGATATTCATGAATATCATAATCTTCAGTATAGTATCAATATGATTAAATTGTACAATAGAATTACTTATTTCTATTTGACAAGGGAGCTCTCGTCCATGGAAATCATGAATACTCCTCAAAGTGCACAATTTCAATTTGATTTTTTTTACTCAGAAAAACAGATTTCTTTGATTCTTTAGTTTTTTTTCTGATCGATTTAATCGATGAAAAATCATTAGTCAATTAAAATTGATTTACAAAAATCATAGAAGCCTTTGTTTATGAAATCTTGAATGACGCATATAAATAACGGAATAAATTGAACTAAATGAATTCTAGAATAGTTCAAAATATAATCTACCATCTACTAGAAACTACCAAGACACTTGCTCTGGGTGCTGTGAGAAGATGGACTCACATGAAGCATAGTTTGCTATTTCCCACTACTTTCTATATGATTTCTTGATAAGTTGCTCTATAAGTGATAGTAATCAATGTTGCACACGCTATGCACTCCGACACTCTTGATACATTTTCGAAGAATCGGAGAATAAAATTGAAGATGATATGCACCCATCAAACTTCAAAACATCACCTTTTGCACTCAAAATTCTTCCATTCAGGTTGATTTTATAGATTTAATTTTTCATTGTTTGAAAGAGTACTTCAAGATTCTTTGAAGTGCAAAGATCTCTTTTGAAGTTTTAACGTTTTAAAAAAACCAAATGACACCACAATATTTGAAAAATTGATCAGAGAACAATTTTCTAATTATAAAGGTATTCTTGTAGGTTATCATAACAAAGTCTAATTGAAAAAATTTTGTTAGCAGAACCGCATTAAGGCTCGAATATAGAACTCACATACCTCCTTTAGCTTTATGATGCTCATACAAAGCAGTATTAAACCTCTCAAAGTCGATCGTCGTTTCTCTAAATGATTATTAGTAAGCAAGTGATTTCTTTTATCTCTTTATTTCAAAAAATATTATTTTCTTTTTTTTAATAGACGCCATATTTCTACTTTTATTTTTTCTATACGCTTATTATATTATTTTGCTTCCGTATCTTTTTTTATGAATGACTTTCCTATGAATACATATCATATAATCTTGGTCGTGAAACTCTGTAATACAGAAGAGGGGAAAAGGCAGCCAAAAAAACCTACCTTTTGAAACTTATACTTTCTAATATTCTACAAAAATATATTTGAGCTCTAAAAATTGAGCTCTGCCAGGGGCTAAATTCTAGCATGATTTTTTCAAGCTAAAATCAATCCATTTTATCAATGTATGTCCTAGCTTTTAAAGTGTTTTCGACCATTTTCAGATGTTAATTATGAAAGATACTTATGCCATTGTGCTGCAATGAGTGACAAAGAAATAGGAAGAATATCTAACATACTAATCTCGCGATTCATTTCGATATTGTGGCTATAGTTGTCGTTATCCATGGTAAAAAGGCGAAGAAGTTGAAGGAGCACTAAGATAGTCACTATGTTATATTGCACGACACAAAATGGTTACTACGTTGTTTTTCATGTTTTTGATGAGTGGTTACTAAAGTGTCTGTGATGGTCTTTAGTAAATTAATGAGACAATAACTAATCATGTAATTTAATTAATTAAAGTGTCTGTCATGTCTGTAGAGGAGACGATTGCGATTTCAAACTTCTAACCTATACACTTGAACACTCCTTTCAGATTGTGATTCACGAAAACAATAACTGGAACTTTATGAAGAGCGAAACTCAGCAGAGCAAATTTCAGTGTAGAAGAAAATACCATCTCTCCAAGAACTTCATATAGAATCTAGTTGATTAAAATTGCTATCTATCGAAAAAGTTAGAAAAGAAAGATAACGTAGTCTTTGTGAACAAACCTGTTGGAAGAGATGTTGTCATGGCAGAAAGAGAGGAGTTGTTTATCATAGTTGTCATATGCGTTCTGTTTCCAACTGTCGCGTTTGTCGAAGTCACTAACAAATAAAAGGCATAAAATAGCAGATTTAGCAAGATATATGTAAGAATTCATGCCATAGAAAATACAATAAAAAAAATAGTATAATCAAAATACATTAATATGTATATATACTCGCAGAAATGAACAACAATCTGTTCAGAAAGTCGTTTTTTTAATTTCTATTTTAGATTCTTTTCAAAGTCTTCATATTAAAATGATAATGCTTCAATAATTGGTCTTATGTAACAACAAATAAAAAATATTATATAGATCATGAAGTTGGTTTTGATAGACACGATCTATCATGCCTAACAGGTATTAATTGATGTGACTGAATGTAACTAAGTTCCACTAGAGATGTCTCATTGCCATTAAGATAAGAAAAATGTTAATACTGCGCATTATAATTAATTAACAAAAATATCTAAATCCTGCCTTCCCCAAGCCCTCCCCCCCGCTCAAAAGAAAAATAGTAACTATTTGAGTGTTTTGGGCAACTAGTTGTTGCTGCTAAAACTAATACTTGCTTGATATTGACACCAAGCAGTAATTAATTTAAATGTCAATAATATTTAATAATTATGCTTCACAAATTAACCTCAACGAAAACGTTAAATTAAATATTACTTAATGCTAATGCTCACTCTAATCCGATAGCCATAAATTTCGCTTAAGCTGAAGCAGAAGTAGCCAACAATGATCACTGGTGAGTTAATATGATCAATTGTAACAATATGCATACGAACATTCACAGGCATTCGCAGTTTTCTGTAAGTGCCTATCTACATCCAAATACCTAAGAGTTTTTGGATGATAAAATTTTGTATGGGTTTTATTTTTGCCTTCTTATGGAGCTTTCTCTCGCTTTGAAACAAAGTACTGCTGCCTTCCAGCTAATAATGATAATTTTCAGAAAAATGACTTTTGAGTTTGCTCTGAGTAAAAGATGATTTTACATAACATATGGTATGCAAATCCTATAAAAAGCATATAAATAAAATACTTCAGGTTTGGCAACATATTTTACATTCCAATGCATAGTAATTGCGGCGAGTAAATACTATGAAATCGGATAAAATCGGTATGAGAACTAAATAGTATAGAACTAGAAGTGAATTGAGATCGAAAAACAGTAGTTTCGATGATCTGTACCATTAGGATGCTTTACAAAATGATTAATTTGTTCTATTTGATAAAACAAGCGAAATCTAAAGCCATTATGATCTTGTTGGAACGAAGTAACATCTTCTAAAACGAAAGATGCAAAAATTTGAAAACCAACATCAATTTATCGTACTACAGTTGAGATCTAAGATGTCTAAATGTTTTAAAAACTTTTCGAAAAATTGTTCCCAAAAAGTATTTAAAATAAGAATTCACTGCAAATCTTAAGATTTTCTAGTGGCTACTTAGTGCGCTCGAAATGAATAAAGGATCGATATGAATAATTCCAAATACTTCAACAACTAATTTGAGAAGATCTTCTATATAAACTGTGTGATTTTCAGGAGCATACAGAGGTCAACACATGCTACATTTTGTGAACTCTATATCTTCAAAGCTGACTTCAAGAAGCGAGAGTATTCCTCGATAGATACATTAGTGATCGACGGGGAAAAATGATGTGGCAGTGCTCATCATTCCGTAGGAGATACCTATGCAACGGCAAAACAGAGCGTTTGAATATAAGAAAAATGTTTTGCTACACGATTGAACTAGTGGATAATAGAATTTCAAGACTTGATTACATAGACTTCCGCAAAAGTATGCCTTTTTTTTCGTTTACTCCTAATTGTCAAAGAGTTGATCTTCTTAAATATTCAACCTACGTTTATGATTCATAATGATATCCTACTGACAGTCAAAGTTTCTCTAATGACGTCTATTGCTTTGTTTTCATTTGATGAATTCAACAAAACTTAAAAAT